TGACTGGCCCGTGGGTCCGAGTGACGGCGGCTTACGCCTCTCCCTGACGTGACAAACCCCAATGCCGTCACTGATGGCGAGGGCGTGAGGCGCGCGGGGCGTCTCCGGCGCGGCGGCGGCCGTGTTGTGATCTCGGCGTCCTAGAATTGTCGCTCGGCGGCCGGAGCGGCGTCGGCGACCGTCAAACAGGCCGCGGCCGGATCAGATGGCCCTTCACCGTCACCGGCGCCGGCTGACAGCTGACGGCTGACGGCTGTCGGCGCCCGTGGCGGTGGATCAGAGGACACCGGTGCCGGCACGTGCAGCCGGCCGAACCGGGTCAGACCGGGTTAGACCGGGTCAGACCGGGTCAGATCAGGTCAGACCAGGTCAGAATGGGTCAGACTGGGTCAGATCGGCCGGCCTGACCGATCGCAGCCTCCGTCAGGTCACTTTCGCAGCCGGTCCTGCCCGCCAGCGTGCGCGCTCCGTACACAGCAGTCAGGACAGCTGCTCGCCGGCGGTGGATAATACAAATGAAGCGTGGGCCCGCATGTTTAACGCAATCTTGTCTAGAAGACTTCGCCGTGTAAGTTTTTCGTAAAAGATTGTTGAGTTAGGTCGATGCGTCAACTCTTCAAAATCTTGTACGGTCCGTCGCTTTTTCACACGCGTCGTGTGGGATGGCAGTGTATGTCGTTCTTTGATAGCAGCTAAACCAAGCACTGAATGTTTTTGTTTCGTTGGCCGACGTCTCTTTTCACTGTAGCCTTTGTAATGACCCTTGGAAAACACTTACCATATCCGTTTTCACCCCTTCTCCCGTGTTTAATCTTTTACAATCTATCCAGGGCATTCTTAAGCACCCTTTCAGCCCTCGATACACATAAAACAAGCTGCGGATCGCCGTGTCTTCGACATTGTATCGCCGCCCGACACCTGCCGCCTCTCCATTGAGGGGGCGGCTGCGGCGGGCCCCTCGACGCCCCTCCGCCGCTCTCCGCGAGCTCCTCGCGCTCGTACATTAGCCCTGTCCTCGGACGTGGGGCGCCTTTGTCGGGGCCCCCGCGACCACTGTAGATCGTTCCGAATCAGCGCCCTGTTCTCGACCTACGATCGGCAGCCCTTGCCCGCGGTCGCCCTCCGCCGGCGTCCATTGTCGACCCGCACGACGGTCCCTGTTTTTGCGTTGGCCCTTTTTCTTCTCGTGTGCCTGCTCGACGGTCGGGCGGCGGGCGGCGGGACTGCGGGCGGCGGGGCGCGGGCCAGGCCAGGGGCCAGGGCCGGGGCCGGTCCGGGACCGGACCGAGCCGGGCAAGCACCGGGTCGTTTAGTAATGGACGGCCTTGAGTGGCCGCCCGCCGGAGGAGCGAAGGCCGGCCGGGGCCCGGGCGTGTGCCGGTCCCGGCTCCTACGCCCGCCGGCAAGCCGCTGAAGGAGAGCGGGCCCGGACGGGCAGACGACGCGGCGGCGCCAGGTGTCCGAGGGAGCAGCGCCCGACACGGATGGAGGGGAACGGTGTGAGCCGCGGCCCGCCCGCCCGCCCCGCTGACTGACGCGGACCTGCACTGGCTCGGGGCAGTCCGGCGGGGTCAGCAGTGGGACTTGGTAGCCTGGCCGGGGAAACCAACCTGGCGAGGTCATCGACCTGACCGGGGCAGCCGCTGCTGCTCTGGCCACCCGCGCCGTCCCCTGAGATGCCACTGTCCTGGTCGGAACCCCCGACCCTGGCCGGCTCTTCTGACACTGCTAGCTGTCCTGTGCCATCGTTTCTCGACAGCCAGTCGCGCCTCTACCGTCCCAGTGGCAGCAGAGCGTGTTGTGATGCCGGTAGGTGCTATACGTCAGACATAGCACGGGGCCGACGAAACCTGGGCTGTAAACCGAGAGGAGGCCAATACCAGTCCCGTTTGGCCGCTGCAATGCCCGTGCCAGGTAGTAACGTGCCGCGTATGTGGTGTCGAGACTTATCGCGTCTCATTCCCGCCTGCCGAGAGTTCTCTTTTTCGAGGAACATTGCGCGGCAGGCTCACATGGCTTCTTGGATACTGTCTTTAAGCAGGGGTGATTTGGCCTACTAAGTAGGCGATCTATCTCCTACCGGTGACGGGAGCTGTCAGCTCGTCACTTCTACAATGCCACTGTGAATCGGGAGCTGGGAAGCTTTCTGATTACATCACAGGCGGGGTGTATGACTGACGTGGGGGGGGGGGGGGGGCGTCCCGGGTGAGGGTGTCCCGCTGGCGAGCTGCGTCGTTTGACTCCTTTTTCATTGTTTCGTCTTTACGACTTCGAAATGGAAGATACTCTGGCGGGGCAGCCGGCTCTCATGTGCCGTTCTGTCCTCCGTTGCTCATCCCCGCTCTGGATTTTCCGCTGGAAAAGCCGGCTCTCATGCGCCGTTCTGTCTCCGCGCGCTTACCCTCGCTCTGAAGATGATCCAGTACTCTGCTGATCGGCCGGCTTTGCAGCACTGCACACTGGTGTCGCGACGTGTACCGGCCTCCCCGCTGTGTGTCGTTCTGCTGCCCCTCCGTCCGACTCCCTCCCACCACGCTGCCCATCCGCCGTGGCCCCGCCACCACACAGTCCGTCGTGACCGCCAGCGGGCCCAGGTGTGTCGGCGGCGGTGGACGCCCCCTCCCCTCCCCCTCCTCATAGGCCGTCATCACGACACGCCCTGCATTGAAGCCCATTTAGATAGATGGTGCGATAGGTGAGCAGTATTTACACGCGGCATTGTCACGTAATGACGAGGGCGAGAGGGCGGCGGGCCCGACTTCCGAGAGGCAAGTCTCCCGTCGCAGGCCCGGGCTGGCGCCGGCTGCTCCCGCCGGCTGGGACAGTACCGCACCGTTGCAGGCGCTCAAGATGGGGCGTCCGGTTACAGGCTGATGGCCGTCAACAACGGACCGTCGCAAGCGCGTGGGCGCCGGCTGCTCCCCGACGGCTGTACAGTTACGAACCGTCACAGGCGCTCAAACTGGCGTCGGTTACCGCCTGATGGCCGTGCAATACCAGGCCGTCGCAGGCGCCCGACATGGCGCCGGCCGCGGCCAGGACCAGCCGTACAGTACAGGACCGTCGCAGGCGCCCGGTTGGCGCCGGCCGCCGCCCGACGGCCGTACAACAACGGATCGACGCCGGCACCCGAGTTGACGTCGGCTGCTGCCCGACGGGCTGTACAATGACGGCCCGCCGATAACGGCTATGACTGTGAATCCGCGCGACGTGACTCCTCGCGTCGTGACTCCGTGCGCCGTGACTTCAGCGTCGTGACTCCTCGCCTGTGACTCGGCGCCGTGATTAATGGTGGTGGCCGGGTTATCTAGATGTTTGGCTCCACCCTCGTGGCCTAACCTTCTGATCCACGGAAGCTCGCCACGATATTTCGGCCAATCATTGTTGTTGGTTGTTCGGGGTCGCGTTCGTGTCCGGATGTACCGTTCCACAGAAGCCCACCACATGATTCCACGGACTTTTCTGGTGATTCCCGACATGGTTCGGCGCATACCTGAGTCGCTGTCGTGCCTCTGGTGCCGGCTGTGCTGGCGGAGCGGCGCACGCGCTGACGTGTGTTCCACCAGCACGCGTCCGTGCGCAGCGCCGTGCTGGTCCAGCGCGCCGCCGCCGCTGGTCTGCCGTGCGTCCGGTCTGCGCTGGTCCGGTATGTCGTCGCCGCGGTTCTGGATGGTCGGTGTCGCTGGTCCGGTTGCCGTGTTCATGTTCAGTGTCGGCTTGTCGAGGCGCGGTTCTGAGGCCTGGTGGTGACGCTTTTTATGAGCCCGATTAGGCGGTTTAGAAGAGTGCCCCCCCCCCCCCCCTCTCTGCCGGCCCGGTTGAGAAGGCGCGCACGTCAGTCGTCAGGGGCGCGGTCTGGGACGGCGCACGTCGCGTGTTGAGAGGGCGCCGTCTGTCCAGCGGAAGACACTGTCCCTTGAACGCTCATACTGTGTGAGGTACTATATGTACCCCAGAGTAGATGGGGCCAAAGCGCTGCCTGAATACGCTGCTCAGTCCCCCAGGCATACAGGGTTTCAGGCGCTGCTCAGTCCCGGATGCATAGTGGGTCCACGCGCTGTTCAGTCCCAGGCATATCGTGGTGTAGGCGCTGTTCAGACCCGGATGCATAGTGGTCCAAGCGCTGTTCAGTCCCGGATGCATAGTGGTCCAAGCGCTGTTCAATCGCGTGTTTATAGTGACGCAGGCGCTGTTTAGTCGCGGGTTTATAGTGATGCAAGCGCTGCCAGTCCTGGGTGTACAGCGCTGCAGGCGCTGCTCAGCCCCGAACAGTCGGTCCGTGCCGCTCACTGTCCAAGCCTGGGGTTGCGCTGGTGTTCAGGGTCGCCGTGGCCTGGACAACAATTAGCAGCCTGGTCGATTAATGGTACCTCAGATGCCCGCCCTGACAGCCGGAACAATTACCGCACTCGAATTGTCCATAAAATAGGCCGCCTCGTAGTCATCCAAGGTCCTGGGTGGTTCGTAAGGGCACAGGCAAGTTCGGAATATCTAACGCAGCGCGAATGTTTGGTTGCTTGATGATGAGGAAATTGTAAGCGATTGAGTCATGCGGATGACCTTTTTACAAGGTTATGAGCGTGGCTTATTTGCTCAAAGCCAATGGGCGTGAGCAATGAGCGTTCATCGCGATTCATGCAACACGACAGTTCCTGATGGAGATGCACGAGTGGGGAAATACATGCATTGTTACTATAAGGCTGTCTTGCTGACGTTGGCATCAGATCATGTCGTAGTTTATTGAAAAGTGAAATCCTAGCTCGCTGCATTTTTGGAGGCCTATATTTTTGTATCTATCATCACTGTCGTGCATTGGGTGGCTTAGAATAATATTGATGCGAATCAAAAAGTGACAAAGGTGGAACACGCGCATTGCATGCTCTGCCAGGTCATGCGGCTGTTTCTCATTATGAGGCCCCACCGGCTTCACGTACTGTCAGATATGCGGCGAAAGTGCTACAGACGTCCGGCTGATCACCCCCCGCCTGCCGTGTCCACAGACCTGAAGAAGGCGTTCCACACGCCGCCGTTCGCCGACGCCGTGGAGGTGGACGAGACGGTGGAGCTGCGCTGAGTGCCGCCGGCCGGCGACCCGCCGCCCACCGTCAGCTGGCTCAAGAACCGCGTGCCCGTCGACCCCAAGCTGGACCCCAACTACATCATCTCGAACGAGGGCAACCTGCTGATCGCGGCCGCTAAGCTGTCCGACATGGCCAACTACTCGTGCGTGGCCGAGAACGTGGCCAACCGCCGGGTCAGCCCTCCGGCGCGGGTCACCGTCTACGGTGAGTGACAGCGGCGGCGGCGCGCGCAGGAGGAGCGGTGCTGCTCAGGCCGTCCCCGGGACGTGACCTGGGAGCGGTGTAAGCTGCTCGATCTGCTGTACCTCCGTGCATGCTGCGGATAGGCGCGACCCACTCTGTGTGCCGTACACTAATCGACCCGATTTCGCGTTTTCGAACCAGAGGTGTCCTTCCGCATGCCTCCCCTCTTTCCGCAGCCTATCGTTTTGGGGCCGCGCTTAACAGCGCTGATCTGGGTTGATCGTTGAACACCTTACATTGCTTGTTTGATGTCGCTCGTCCGTTTGATCCCCTCCGTAATGTCCGATGTGACGTCATCTCGTGATCCCGCTCAGCGCCCTGCGATGTGGAGTCGTCCTCCGCTCGCAAACCGGTGCGCGCTCGGAGACCGATGCCGGTGTGCTCGGACCGCTGCCGGTGTGCTGGGACCGATGCCGGTGTACTCGAACCGGTGCCGGTGCGTTTGCACCGATGCCGGCGCACTCATACCGATGTCGGTGTTCTTGGACCGACGCCGGTGCGTTTGCACCGATGCGCTCGGACCGATGCCGGTGTGCTCGGACCGATGTCGGTGTGCTCGGACCGATGCCGGCGCGCTCGCACCAATGCCGGCGTGCTCGCACCGGTGCCGGTGTGCTCGGACCGATGCCGGTGCGTTTGCACCGATGCCGGTGTGTTCGCACCGATGCCAGTGCACTCGGACCGATACCGGTGCGCTCGGATCGCTGCCGGTGCGCTCGGACCGATGCCGGTGCGCTCGGATCGCTGCCGGTGCGCTCGGACCGATGCCGGTGCGCTCGGATCGCTGCCGGTGCGCTCGGACCGATGCCGCGGTCTGATGGGACCAGCTGCCGTCATCAATGGGAGACCTACTCAAAGGCACCAACTCGTTTGCATGAACTTCGTGTTCTATTGCTGTGGCGAGTAGACCGCCTTTCACGGTGGAAATTGCTTCCGGGCGCGCCATTGCGACAACTTCAGACTCGGCGTCGTGGTGAACCCGAAAACATGAAACGAAGGCTTTAGTCTACTCAAAATCAACCACTGGCCTTTCGTGCGAAACCGACATTTTTAAAGTATGTCTTTGCTGATCAGGATATCTGAGGGCTGGTCGTTCTCCTGTAGTTCCCCTGAGTGCTGGTCGTTCTCCCTCCGAGCTAAGGACGATCAGTGGAGCCTGCACCGAGGGAGTGTCCCATTGAACAACAGGCACCCCCAAACGCATTCCGGATGCAGTTGCAGGCGTGGCAGCCGGCGGCGCACGCACTCCGCGCTGTGCCGACAGCCGGGTGGGTGTAATCGCCGGCCATCGCCGTAATAACTGTCACGTGGTCCGAGTAATGCCAATTGCCGGCGGCAGGGGCGGCTTCAGCTGCCGCCAGTCCGGCAGTTCAGACTGCTACACTAGTCTAGTCTACCAAGCTGAAAATACGTACATGAGACGCGATGAAAAATCTGCAAACCTTGGATGAATAACGTTTTGGGGAAGTCGTCTGCCCCGAGCAGAGTCGATCCCCGACGTACGGGGGTGCTGGGTCTGCCGCTGCCGCTGCAAGGCACGTCACGGGGATGTAGGCTAGCTGCGTGGGGTCCGTCTGGTGCTCACCGGGCTGTGTGGGGCCCGTCTGGTGCTCACCAGGCTGTGTGGGACCCGTTTAGTCCTCACCAGGCTGTATGGGGCCCGTCTGGTGCTCATCAGGCCGTGTGGGACCCGTCTGGTGCTTACCAGACTGTAAAGGACCCGTCTGGTGCTCACCAGGCTGTGTGGGGCCCGTCTGGTGCTTACTAGGCTGCGTGAGACCTGCATGGTGCTTACCAGGCTGTATAGGACCCGTCTGGTGCTCACCAGGCTGTGTGGGACTCGTCTGGTGCTCACAGGCTATATGGGACCCGTCTAGTGCTCACCAGGCTGTGTGGGACCCGTCTGGTGCTCACCAGGCTGTGTGGGGCCCGTCTGGTGCTCACCAGGCTGTGTGGGGCCCGTCTGGTGCTCACCAGGCTGTGTGGGACCCGTCTGGTGCTCACCAGGCTGTATGGGACCCGTCTGGTGCTCACCAGGCCGTATGGGATCCGTCTGGTGTTCACCAGGCTGTGTGGGACCCGTCTGGTGCTCACCAGGCTGTGTAGGACCCGTCTGGTGTTTACCAGGCTGTGTTGGGCCCGTCTGGTGCTTACTAGGCTGCGTGGGACCTGCCTGGTGCTTACCAGGCTGTATAGGACCCGTCTGGTGCTCACCAGGCTGTGTGGGACCCGTCTGGTGCTCACCAGGCTATATGGGACCCGTCTAGTGCTCACCAGGCTGTGTGGGACCCGTCTGGTGCTCACCAGGCTGTGTGGGACTCGCCTGGTGCTCACCAGGCTATATGGGACCCGTCTAGTGCTCACCAGGCTGTGTGTGGCCCGTCTGGTGCTCACCAGGCTGTGTGGGGCCCTTCTGCTACTCACCAGGCTGTGTGAGACCCTGATGAGCCGAGCCGGCCTGCGTGCCGCGGCCACAGCGGCACTGACTAACGCGAGCGGACGCTGACAGGGGCCGAGACCCGTACCTCGTGCCTCGCACGCGGCCGGCTTTGCACAGATGCATGTGAGCTGGTCATGAGGGCCGGCGGGCGTTTGATGTGGAGCGGGGTCTGGTGGGACAGAGCCATTGTTGGTAATTGTTGAGAATGTGAAGCTTCGTTTCTGTTCCGCCCCATTTACAAGACAGAAACCATCCTGCACCGGACACGAGCAGCTGCCGCGGGAAGCGGCGGCTGCTCTCGCCCATGTGCGTGCTGTTAACAGACGGCCGCGCCCTGTCGGCAGTGAACGGCGGCTGGTCGGGGTGGGGCGCCTGGTCCGGCTGCCAGCCGCCGTGCGGCGCCGGCCGCCGCCAGCGGCACAGGAGCTGCGACAGCCCCCGGCCGATGAACGGGGGCCGCCAGTGTCGCGGACCGGCGCAGCAGGCGGCCGACTGCAGCTCCCTCTGTCCGCGTGAGTCGCTAGGGCCCGGTCCGGCTGCTGTCGGCCATCACGACTAGCGGCAACGTTTTGCCCGCTAACCCTCCGGCCGCAGATACTTATACCATGGGCCTCATGCGCTTACGGAATTGTTTAGGGGACATGCTACAGCGCTCATTCCGAGCGCCTTGGGCTGGATGGGCTCCAAGGGCGCATAAGGGTTAAAGAGGGAGCAGTAAGCGAGTGTTTTACCGACGCACACACGTATCTGAGTGTAACGTCTGGGGACTTTCGCGGAAATTATGTGACCTAAGCGCGTTTGTATCCATTGGATCGTCGCGCTGCGCCCATAAGGGTCTGTAACTTCAGTATGGACTGCTGCGTATGGCCAGGAGACCCTTCCTGACGACAATTCGGGCCAGCGCACCAAGCGGAAAACGATCCGCATGCACGCACATATTTGTGCTTGGTTATTGGAGGGAAATGATCCATATTATACCTTTTGATCGTCATTGTGTGTCATCAACCTCTTATAAATAGCACCTTACAAAATATTGTCATTCAAGGAACAGCTTGCATTGCGGACGCAAGCAGCTTTGATTCATTTTGATTCTGTGGCCGTCGGTGACTAACAGATTTATCGTGTATCTTCGGAAGAAAACGAAGTGAACCGTATGCACCACGGCGAGATACGTATTCATCCGCCATTGTGGTTTTTTCAGACGTCGATCAAATGCCAGCGATTACCATGCGTAGTTTGCAGTGGTGCTCGTTCTTGCCAAGCCCCTCCGTCCCCCCCCCCCCCCCCAAAGAAAGCAACCCCACGACCGTCTGGCTACAAAAAGCTATGACTGTGATCGGTCCCTGGCTACGTATTTCCCCCATACGTAGTTTTTCTTCGGGGCCGCCGATTGGCCGCGGCGTGACGTCATCGTGGTCTACCGCCAGCCGTGGACGGCGGGTGGTCGGCGTTCGGCGATTGGTCGGCATGTGACGTCACGTGTCGTCAGAGCCGGCAGCGGGCGTGCTCGGCCCCAGTGCCGGCCCATGGGGGTGTACCCTGCTCGGGCGCCGACCGGCAGCACCGCAACTGCTCCAGGGCCGACTGCGAAGGTCAGTCACAAGCTGTCATGGCACGGCCCTGGTGCGTGCACAGCAGCACTGCTCTTTATTGTGGCACTAGCTTTCATAGGCACGACGCAAGGAGTCTACGGCTCACTTTGCGAGGCTGCTGTGATGATGTTAGAGCAATTACAACTGGTTGTTTTAGGGGTGCCATTGTCTGCAGCCTCATACACACAATGGCCTCCCTACTTGTACAGGTCGTAATATTGTCTGCAGGCAGTAACACAACGCTAGTGTTATTTAGTTGCGAAATGTTGGTACCATCTGCTTGGAATCGCGCCTTCCAGTCAGCAGCGTGCCACAAAGGCTTTATGTGACATCCCATAGTTCGTAGATGTCCTTGAAATACCAATCAAAAGCGTGCTGGTACGTCTAGAATTGTTCACCGCCTCATTACGGATGCCAACACGGTAATTCCAATCCATTACCGACGGCTCCGTCACAACTGTTGCTGCTGTCCTGGCCTCTCCTTGTGCCGGCCCTGACCCAGACCTGACCCGGGGGTCGCCGGTCGGGGCTGTCTGTCGTGCCCTGCCCGTCTGTGCGACAGCTGTGCTGAGGGCGCGTGCCGTCCGTTTCAGAGGTGCGAGCCGCGCTGCTGGACCGCTCGTCCACTGATCAGGGTGAGTCCCGATCTTAGTCTGGACGGATGAGTTCCGCCCGCAGTCTGACCAGAGTGAGCTCCCCTCGTCCTCTGACCGGGGTGAGTTCCCTCGTCCCCTGACCGGGGTGAGTTCCCTCGTCCTCTGACCGGGGTGAGTTCCCTCGTCCTCTAGGGGTGAGTTCCCATCGTTCTCTGACCAGAGTGAGTTCCCTCGTCCTCTGACGAGGGTGAGTTCCCCTCGTCCTCTGACCAGGGTGAGTTCCCCTCGTCCTCTGACCGGGGTGGGTTCCCCTCGTCCTCTGACCGGGTGACTCCCGCTCGTCCTCTGACCGGGGTGACTCTCGTTCATCCTCTGACCAGGTTACTTCCGCTCGTCCTTGGACCGGGGCGACTCCGCTCGTCCTCGGACGGGTGACTCCCGCTCGTCCTCTGACCAGGGTGACTCCCGCTCGTCTCTGACCGGAGTGACTCCCCCTGGTCTCTTACCAGGGTGACTCCCCCTCGTCTCTGACCAGGGTGACTCCCGCTCGTCCTCGGACCGGGTGAGCTCCGCCGGCCGGGCCGGGTTGATGGATGGGCCGGGCCGGTTTACGGCCGCCAAGCCGCCGGTGCCCATCCATCTGCCGGGCCGCCGCCGGACGATCTGTCAACGTCCGGCCGGGAGTGACAGCTGTCACATGTCACAGCGTCACATGTCAGCGGCCTCAAGGCGGCGCCGAGCCGCGCCGGGCCGCCGGAGGCGCTGGAGCCGGAGTCCGGGGTCAGCCGGTGCTGGAGCCAGGGTCGGCTGGGGTCGGCCGGTGCTGGAGCCGTGGTCGGCCGGGCCGAGCCGGGGTCGGCCGGGGCAGCCGGTGCTGGAGCCGGAGTCGCCGGGGTCGTCGGCGCTGGAGCCGAAGTGGGCCGGGGTCGGCCGGGCTGCAGCCCATGGTCGGTGGGGACTGGAGCCGGTGTCGCCGGGGTCAGCCGGTGCTGGAGCGGAAGGGCCGGGGTCAGCCGGTATTGGAGTGTGGTCTGCCGGTGCTGTAACCGGAGACGGCGGGGGGTCGGCGCTGGAGCCGGGGTCGACGAGGTCGGTCGGAGCTGGAGCCGGAGCCGGCCGGGTCAGCCGGTGCTGGAGCCGGGGGGTCGGCCGGGGTCAGCCGGTGCTGGAGCCGGGGTCGACCGAGGTTGGTCGGCGCTGGAGCCGGAGTCGGCCGAGTCGGTCGGCGTGGAGCCGGAGTCGGCCGGGGGTCAGCCGGTGTGGAGCTGGTGTCAGCCGAGGTCAGCCGGTGCTAGAGCTGTGGTCGGGGCCGGCGCTGGAGCCGGGGTCGATCGGGGGTCGGTCGGCGTTGGAGCGGAGTCGGCTAGGGTCGGTCGGCGTGGAGCCGGAGTCGGCCGGGGTTGGCCGGTGCTGGAGCCGGGGTCGACGGGGTCGCGGTCGGGAGTGCGGTGGAGCCGGAGTCGGCGGGGTCGGTCGGCGTGGATCCGGAGGCCGGCTGGTCGGCCGGCCGCTGGAGCCGGAAGTCGGCCGGGACGGCCGGTGCCGAGGTCGGCCGGGGCGGGTCCGGCGGTCGGCGGGCACCGGGGCCGGGATCGGCTGGCGCTGAGATGTCGGCTCTTGCCGGAGTCGGCCCAGCGCTGGAGCCGGGGTTGGCCGACTCTGGCCGGCGCTGGAGCTGCGGAGCAGCCCGCCGCTCCTGCTGTGGTGTTACGATGTCGACTCAGCGGCTGCTCTATCTAACCATGTTATGTAGTGAGGTCAGGATGTGATTGGGCGCAGCGGTGCGCGTCAGAGCTCAGACACCACGCCGCGGTGGCAGTGCGGCGCTTCAAAACTGTGCGACGCGCTGTGGTGCACGCGTCCGAGGGCGGCGCCGCAGCGGAAACTGGCCAGGTATGTCAGCCTGACAACGGCCTTTTAGTCGACTCGTCGGAGCTGTGACGCATTGTGCTGCTGTGCTGACGCGTGCCTGTGTTTTGTTGCAGCGGCTCGAGCGGTGGCCGGCAGGTCGGACGTGGCGCTGTATGTCGGTCTGGCGGTGGCCCTGCTCGTCTTCCCGATGATCGCGCTGATCGCCCTGAAGCTGTACCGACGCAAGGGCCGCGGCCAGAGCATGTACGGACTCACCGAGAGAGGTGGGTCATGGTGACACGGACCTGTCGTGTACGACGTCGCAGAGCACGGCAGGTCGCTGGACACGGCTGTCAAGGTCTCACGGGGTGTACGCACAGACTCCCAGTGACAGGATGGTCAGGCGGCATTTGACGCGGTCACTGTTGAGTATGTAAAATAGCGCAGACTGCTAGGCCTTGACCCGAGATGGCTGGAGCCCGCGTGGTTCTAGCAACAAACGGTACAGATATGAGTTGGCGGCAGATAAGTCAACGTGCTGCATTACGTAACACATTATAATTTCCGTTTCTCTCTAAAACGAACGTTTGGGATAAGTGAACCAGTTTCCAAAAGCCTGTTTTATGATGTTGCTGGGGTCACATTCATCGGTCTTTTCAAATATTGTTAAAGTAGCTCAAAATTTCAGCTTTTGTTTTTATTTTAAGTTATTCATTCCTACGTTCTTGTTATTGTTCATGATGGTGCTATTCAAATGGTCATATTAAATTTTTGGCCCACTTTATTCAGTTTTTTCAATTCCAAGTTTTTATTTGATTATTTAAAGCTTCCAAGCATTTAAGTATTTAAATCCCTCTGAAGCATCAGCCTTTCGGTCAAGTTCCTCCCAAACATCCAGCATTGCTTCCGTCATGTATACCACCACAGCGGAGGATGTTTCCTGACGCGAGACTAGTCCGCTGTGATCCGTAGACTACGAGGCTAAGTACTACGACAACAACAAGAAGCAGCTCAGCTACACGCCCGACCTGACGTCAAACGTCACGGGCGTGAGCTCGACGCCGCCCAGCCGGGGTCACAGACTACGCCTACAACAGGCTGGGCAGCGGCACCAGCCGGCCCGGTGAGGCTCGACCCAGCGCTCGGCCGCCGCCCGCGCTCGTCAGGGGGCGGCGATGCTTGGGGATCAGATCTTGCTGCATCTGCTAGTGTTAAGCCTGTCAGGAGGGATCCCTTGTACCAGACTGTTATTGTCAGGTTTGGCTATTATAACAGCGGCTTCATTCGCTGCTTTTATGGTCGTTTCATGTGCGGCTGTCAAAAGTTTCAGATCGTTTTATCACGCACAGATCGATATCCGCAAAATAATGCTGCAATCACTGGTTTGACATCATTGAGTTATCATAACATTTCCTATAAACAGATAAGAGTTGCATTTCGCCAGAAAATAATGCGGCGAATGTAGGCTACCTTCCCGCTTGCATCGCGGACCAAAGACAAATGTTAGCGGTGGTCTCCTCGTCCCCTCTCCCTTGCCGGCGGCGGCTGTGCGGCCTTGTGCTGGCGGCTCCCTGGCAGCGGCACCTAACTGTCGGTGTTGGTGCCGATAGGCCTGCTGGGGGGTCATTCGGAGCACCACTACGACGAGCCGCTGCTGCCGCCGGGCCGGCTGACCGGCGCCCGACACTCGCCGGCCGGCGACGCTCCCTCCACCGGCTCCCGCGGCTCGCAGGCCACCAGCAGCTCGCGCGACAACCCGCACCACAGTGGCTCCTCCTACTGCAGCTCCCGTGAGTGGGCACGCGGAGCAGGCGGTCAGGCGGGGGACGCTGCTGCACCCAGCCGCTGGTGCCAGCGGGTTGGCGGCCCGATGATGATTGTCACATTGTCTTCAGTACGTGGCTGACTAGAAATGTCATGCGGACTGACAAGATTTATGGCATCGTTTGATGTCGACCCACTTTGTTAAATACGGAAAACGAATGGGTGCTAGAAAGCTAGGTTTGGCAAGTTGACATGAATCAAGCTACTTTCTGAGTTCACAAGGATAGCGCACAGAGCGATACAGGGCAACAATAACAGCAACTCAGCCTCATACAGTTACCATCCCACTGCAAAATAATGTTCGTATGTCTCACTGGACTTATTGCGCTAGCATCGGGATAGTCGGCGGGTAAGGCTTATAGCGTTGTCGCGTCTCACCCCCCGCCCCTTCCGCGCAGCCACCTCTCGTCCGACATCTCTGTACGACGCGGAGGCCGCGTCCTGCCGCCAATCGCTGCTCTCCACACCACTGCCATCTAGTGTCAACCCGGACAACCTCGATTTCGGCACGGGTCAGCTATTGCCATCTGTTAGAGACACCAATTAGTCAGTTAATTTGCATTGGCTTCTCGCAGTTCCAGTAGTTCCGTAGCAAGGCGCGTTAGCTTACAGCCAATAACTGACTTAAGTTTAGTTTGGTGATGCTACTTTCTGCTCAACTAAGTTGCAACTCCAGTTTTTTTGTTTTGTGAACTCCCAGAGAATCCGTCTGTGTGTTAGTAGCTTCATACGTTCCATCACCTTTACAACAGGAGACATACTTGCGGAAGTGCGGAAGGGTGACTAGCGACTGTCATCGCTGTTTTAACTTGGCGATTCCGGCAAGCCATGTCTGAGCCAGTCGCTCGGCCGGGTCTGTCTGCCTGGCCGTCTGCCGATCCGTCTGACCGTCCGGCCCTGGGGCGCAGTGACGTCGGCGGGCGCCGTGCTGACGCTGGAGAGCGCCGGCGTCTCGCTGCTGGTGCCGGAGGGCGCCGTGCCGGCCGGCCAGCTCGAGGAGGTCTACCTGGCCGTGATGAGCGACACCCGCGAGAAGCCCCAGCTGGCGGGTAGGACACGAGCGGCCGTCTGGACCGACAGGTCTCGAGGGCGGGGCACTTGCCACGGTCGCGCCGCTGAGCACGGACCTGGAGTGCTCAGAAACGTGTCGAATACGGCTCCCGCTGACATCCGGGAATGCAGATTGCGTGTTTTGCTTTATTTTAGCGTCTATGCAGCCATTTGTTCCTGTGCACCCCAAAATATCACTTACTGGGTCCGCAACTGCTCGCGGCTGGTTAGCACAGCAAAATAACACTCAATGCTCTTCAAGTAGTCTTGCTCGAGCCGACCCGTCTTCACGAGACCGATATCACAAAGCGTAGCCGTCACTGTCTCCAGGGTTTTTGTATGACCTGGTTAACCTGCCTTGAAGGGTTTTCATCTCTGTCATAGGACTCCATACGCCGCTATTTGGGCAGTGTGACCTGACCTGACCTGACCTGACGTCGTTCGCAGAACACCAGACGCTATTGTCGCCGGTGATTCTGGTCGGCCCGCCCGGCACCCAGTTTCTGAAGCCGGTCGTCGTCAGCTTCCACCACTGCGCCAACCTCAAGTCCACCTGGAACGTGTCGGTGTACGGCTCCGAGAGTCCTCCAGACGAGGTTCCTCAGTGGCAGGTCGGTCGATCGCCGGCCGTGGGTCAGTGGCCCACCGTAAGCGGCGCCACTCTCGGTCTCAGTCTTCTGTGGTCGTCGCCTGGACGGCACCATCAGCGCATTAAACAAGCGACCCATCGCCTTGACGTGGTAATGCACCGTCACAAGTATGACTTGCAGCTGCCCTAATGACGCATGGATAATGGGCAGAATGTTGCGTGTGAATCTGACAGTGCCTGGTCGGCTGCCGCAGCGTATCGTGACCCTGGGTCAGGAAACGATCAACACGCCAATCTATACCCAGCTGGACCAGGGCAAGGTTCACATCCTGACAGACTGGCTACAGGCCTTCGCACTGGTCGGAGAGCCCTGCACTGGTGAGATCCCACGCTTCCACGCTGAGGCACCGGACACAACACTGGTCGGAGAGCCCTGCACTGGTGAGATCCCACGCTTCCACGCTGAGGCACCGGACACACCACTGGTCGGAGAGCCCTGCAACGGATGAGCTCCCACGCTTCCACGCTGAGGCACCGGACACACCACTGGTCGGAGAGCCCTGCACTGGTGAGATCCCACGTTTCCACACTGAGGCACCGGACACACCACTGGTCGGAGAGCCCTGCACTGGTGAGATCCCACGCTTCCACGCTGAGGCACCGGACACACCACTGGTCGGAGAGCCCTGCGCTGGTGAGATCCCACGTTTCCACGCTGAGGCACCGGACACACCACTGGTCGGAGAGCCCTGCACTGGTGACGTCATGGCCGCAGGAGATGCTTCCCACAGCGCAGTTGGCCGGTTCTCTTTCCCGAAGATGCGTAGAAAGCTGGCTCACGAACAGAGTTGAAACGCGATGCGCGGCGGCATCTGTGTATGCATCGACTGCAGCCACGATGGTCACTCCCTGCTGCGCTCCCCACCCGCTCTCCCTCACAGCCACGTTCAGAGACAGCGTTGCCGAGGTAACCAACCGCACGTGGCACTGCCTCGTCGCCAACCAACAGTGCGTACTTTGCCGCTCCCCCTCCCCGGTGTGGTACGCCGCGGTTCGCTGGTGCCGCGAGTGTGACGCCACGCCCGCCCCACAGCGCCGGCCGTGAAGAACCTGCGTCTGGCTGCGTTTGGGCCGCGACTGGTGGCCGCCGCCGAGTACTGCGTGCGGCTGTACGTGGTGGAGGACACCAGAGCGGCGCTGGAGGTACGCGCCATTTCACTGGCGGAGCTGAAACTCCGTGCCGTCTTAGGCCAGATCCTAGCAGATGTCCTGAAACCGAGAAAGCAGACATTAGAATATAAGACTAGATGTTAAAATATGGAGAGTAGATGTAAGAATATGAGGGTAGATGTTAGAATATGGGGGAATAGATGTTAGAATATGGGGGTAGATGTTATAAAATGGCGAGTAGATGTAAGAATATGGGGGTGGATGTTAGAATGCGGGGAGTTGATGTTAGAACATGAGGATTGTCTTATTACACTCGCCCGGTGCGAAGCTATGTTAACATCACTGGACGTGTGAAGACAGTCTTGAGGCGGAATGCGCGTTTTCACCTGTCGCAAAGTGTCCGTGCGGAACTTGTGCAGCCGCTAGCGACGCGTGATACGGCGCCAAGCGTCCGTCGGCCTGTCCTGTGGCCGTCAGACAGCGCCAAGCGTCCATCGGCCTGTCCCCTGACCGTCAGACAACGCTGAGCGTCCGTTGGCCTGTCTTCTGACCGCGCCTCCGTCTGTTCCCAGGGCGTGACACAGTTGGAGCGGCGTTTGGGAGGCCGCCTGCTGGACAAGCCCAAGACCCTGCCGTTCCAGAGCGGCGGCGCCGGCCTCTGCCTGGCGCTGGAGGACCTCAGTCTCGGCTGGAGGTGCAAGCCGCAGGGCGGCTACCAGGTCAGTGCCGGCCACCCGAAGCACTCGGCGCCGACCACAGACTCGCCTACAGCGACCAAATACGACCAAACGCCGGATCGGGCCGCGAGGACGTGGCTTGGGAACTTCTGGGCCAAGAAAGTCTTTGCAGCGTTCAGTGTTCACATTGGTGGTGATGTTCGCCGGCTTACGAGATGAGGGCGTACTGTCGTAAAGTAAGGATGTCAAGCCTAGGGATCGTTAACCCCCATTCCATGATTATATTTCAATCTTTTGTGCCTTTTTTCGCACCGTTAACACCACAAGAGCACGCAGGATGATATTCTTGTTTCTCAATCGCCGCCCCATTTGCGCGCCTCACGCGGCGCGTCATCTGCGGCAGGAGATCCCGTTCCGTCATGTGTGGGGCAGCACGTGTCCGCTGCTGCACTGCTCGTTCTGTCTGGAGCACGTGGGTCACGCGGCGGCCAGGGACGGCCTGGCGTTCTCCGCCCGGGTGCAAGTGTACCAGCGGGGCAGCCAGACGCGCCGCCAACTCATCCGGGTCTCTTCCTCCGAGAGTCACACACAGGTCAGTGACCTGCGGACAGGTCAGGGGCGCACAACCAGGTCAGAGCCACACAGCCAGTTCAGAGGCACACGGCTAGGTCAGAGGCACACGGCCAGGTCAGAGCAACACACACGTAGAAGGTACACGGTCAGGTCAGAGGCACACGACCAGGTCAGAGCCACACACAGGTCAAAGGTACACGGCCAGGTCAGAGGCCCACGACCAGGTGAGAGGCACGCGGCCAGGTCAGAGGCACGCGGCCAGGTCAGGAGTATGTGGCTAGGTCAGAGGCATACTGTCAGGTAAGGGGGGACAAGGCCAGGTCAGGAAGGCCAAGAGACACAACCAGGTTACGGAGAGCGAGAGACGTAGGCAGGTCAAGGGTGGTGGAGGCACGGCCGCTCTAGAGTAGTTGAGGCTAAAGGTATGCCATTGGCTGTTGAATGATCCAAAGCGTTCTTTATCCCTACAAACAGCAGGCTTCCTGAGTTAGGTCTGGTTGGAAAGTTGCCACCAGGAACGGAACATATTTTGATTTTCCAAATCAACTGGGAAAAGCAAACAAATATTCCACTGTCTGGGCGTCATTTATTTCCGCGTTATTGCCGGTTAGGCAGTGACAGATGTGGGGTTGCTGGCGGGTGTCTCGGGCCGTGCCGTCTGCTCGGTGACGCTGCCGTGCCGCTCTGCAGCCGCCTTACGCGCGCGCCTCCCGCAGCAGGCGCTGAGTCCACCGCCGTGTCGAGCACCAACTGGCGCCGCGCCCCCGGGCGGCCCGACCACGACCCCGGCCACCTCCGCGGACCGGCCGACCACCAGGTGAGGCACCCGACGGACGTCAGTCACCGGGGCAGGCATGACAGCCGGGCACCCGACGGACGTCAGTTACCGGGGCAGGCATGACAGCCGGGCACCCGGCAGACGTCAGTCACCGGGCAGGCATGGCAGCCGGGCACCCGGCAGACGTCAGTCACCGGGACAGGCATGACAGCCGGGCACCCAACAGACGTCAGTCACCGGGACAGGCATGACAGCCGGGCACTCGACAGACGTCAGTCACCCGGACAGGCATGGCGGCCGGGCAGGGCTCCCGCCGGCGTGGGGACCAGGACCGACGAACCGGCTGAAATGAGGGAGGCGTGATGTCGTCGCGTGCGTTAGTACATAGTGGTTGTTGATTTTTGTGCAAGATGCGGCCGGGTGTGCCGTCATGCCTCATGACGACATTTTGATATTGTCACATGTATGGTCCGAAGTGATAGCTGAAACCATACTGTATAATTTGTGTACTAATGTTATCTAGCCATACGGTTTTAGTTGGTGCTATGCGACAGTGTTTCTATATGTACGGCATGTGAATAGACACAGCCTTCACTCGCATTGCAGGCTTTCTGCTGAGACCAGACAGAAGCTGTGCCAGTGCTTGAACTCTCCCAACCCTCGCGGGAATGACTGGAGGATGCTGGCCCAAATGATGCAGGTTAACAGGTAAAAACTGGTGTCCCGGATGCCGTAGGGCAAAAAGGAGATGCGCATCATCGTCTTGTGTCCAGCTGCTACGGCTCAAGAGGTGCGCTTGGCTATATTTTGTTCATGTAAGCTTCCTACGCATGTCCTAGTGTACTCTTTGGGCTGGAATCCACGCACGTTATTCGACAAGCTAGGTGCGCTGCTTTTCCGTCAGTGGTCGCGGACAGAGCGTCATCATATTCACCTGCCTCCAACCGCAGATACGTCAACTACTTCGCGACGAAGAAGTCCCCGACGGACCCGATCCTGGACCTGTGGGAGGCGAGGCACCCAGAGCAGTCTTCCTGCACCGAACTGCTCAACATCCTCAGGATCATGGGGCGCGAAGATGCCGCCCAGATTGTTGAGGACCAGGTCGGGCCGCGCGTGTGACCTTGATCAGCGACAGCTGATTGGCCAGCCCGGTCGGCTGACCTTGAACTAAGCTCGTCGATTGGTCCGAGGGTGTGGCGCCTCGAGTGCTGAGCGCTGATTGGTCTGTAGTGTCGTATCGCCGTAGCAGCAGGCGGGGATTGGTGCACGTTTAGCGGTCTGAAGTGTGATTGGCCTATTTGATCAGCCGGATTTAATTTATCGCTGTGGGCTTAGCTAGTTGGATCCCGTTGTAATTCAACGTGCATCATTGCCTTATTTGATCACCTCAATTGACGTTCAAAAGCATTGCCGAAAGTGCGCTTGCATCGTACGTTTACTGTGTTTATTGAGTGCTCCACTCTTCACAGTTTGTGCTCACACCATTGTTCTGGTTCACATGACAATTTTCAACCGATCCGTGCCAAATAATTATGGGATCTTCCGGAGACGAATCAAAATAGGCAGGGCTCAACCGCTCGAGGAAATGTGATATTTTGTCAATGCCACCCCGTATTTATGAAGTTCCACGCGCCACTATAAGGCATATTGTTCTGGGTGACATGCTTATAGGTGTCAATGGAAGTGACTGCTGCGATTTTGCTTGCGAGCTGGCATGTGCAGTATATCTGCCCAAATCACGACTGCAGACAAATATTTAAGTCTTCCGACGCTGATGCCAAATTTCTCAAAAGTTGGTCAGTAATCAATTGTATAAGTCACGCGACTGTCACCAAAGCTGTACATACGTGCTCCGAAGAACAGAATGCTACAAATTTAGTCCTCCACGTGTATGACATCGTGTGACCGCCTGTACCGTTGGTGATGATGAGACCCAGGACAGCTGAGATTTCAGTGTGACCTCCACTGCAGGCGCTCAGCGTGTGGGCCTGTGTCCACTAGTTGTGGTCATGGCAGGGTTATGTGACCCGACTCATGTCGTCTTGTGTTCGCTTCCTGAGGAACCGTGTCGCTGTGCTTGCTTGGGTGTACTGCCTTTGTTCGTTAGTGAGTGCAACCATTTTTGCAAAGGCTTTATACGTGGGGTAGTTCATTAAGTATTCTGAGCTCAATAACACGGTATCTGCATGCTTCTTGGCATCACGAAAAATACGTTGTGTCACCCAGAAATACCCCGCAAAATCCTGACGACACCGGCACTAACTGTTTCCAACAATAGTCTTCACGTAGTCATCCGTGGACTACTTGAAACATTATTGCAATTTTCAACGCCTTCACCTATCGCTGACGAATTAGTTACGTTGGCTATAACTCCTGAATACGCTGTTAGACGTGACCTTCAAAAAGTGGCGTTCATGTGTCCCGGAACTGGGCTAGGGACGCGAAGGCACCGGGTGCGTTACTTGTTGCAGTAGAAAGCTAGCGGCGGTGTCCAGCTTTGGGGTTTTTATATTTTTTTCAGAGATTTTAGCCTGATTTGCAGTCACAAATGAGTGTGGAGCTACGCCTTCCAAAACCCTCTTCCTTGTGCCGTTTCGGCTCCGCCCCATCCTCCGTCCATAGCGTAATTTATGGACGGCACACTGAGATGGACTATGGCCTCCCCGTAGGAACGCAGATTCAACTGTTAGGAGCGTCAGTTTCCTCGCTGCATTGTTTGACGTTAGTGTTATGCCTCAGAAGATCTGCCGCACAGCGGGTCTTATAAAACTGGCAAGTGCGATATAGATCAGCGCACATCGACGCTCCGTTGTAAGCCACGTACTTCCTGTTGGTTGGGCGGCCATTTTGAAACGCTGTCCTGGTCAAGCACAGGACGCTGCTGATTGGATAGAAATATACCGCATCTGCGTGCGGCTAGTCACTTGCGTTTAGTGCGTAAAGCTGTTTTATACTCTGAACGATCGCTTGTGAAAATAGGTGTTGTATGTATGTACTTATGTCATGTTATAATGCAACCAATACAAACAGTGCTTTGTTTAAAGACAGTTTTAGTGTGCTGCATTGCTGGATGAGCTGCCGGGGTCCAGGTGACCAAAAAACGTGGCGGTGACATTGGGCATGTGAAAATACTTAACAAGACACGAGATATTAGGCCCCATCTGTGTTGACGGAGGAGCGCAGGCGCTGTCCATGGTGATGGCACTGGCGAGGAGCGTTGTCCTGCTCAGTCTTTGGTGGGCATGTCGGGCTGGAGTTGGGCGCCTCGTAAAACACGTGGGATTATCGTAGGCACGCAGCGAGAATTTCGAACACTAAAGAACTATTTTTGTAATATAATGAATTTCCAATATGAAATATTTTTGAGGCATCAAACATATTTTTTCTCTTAAACGGGCAGTCTATTCTAAACAAACTTTTCAAGCTGGCTTTTATAGGAAAGAACCGCAATTTCACTCACAACATTACAAGCAGCTGACGATTATACACGTTCCTGGCGGCCTAAGGACTTGGTAAGACGTGTTTACGTGCGAGGCCGTCGATCGAGTGAGTGTTGGCTGAACAACATGAACAGATGAACCTGAGGGGTTTGGCCCGTCTGCCACGCGTACAGCACTTGGCGGCCATCATGCAGCCGGAGGCACGCAAGACTCGAGAGGATCTGAATGTTAGGACGAAGAGATTTGCATGCATTTTTACACAGGCTGTTTGACCAGACGCCATTTTCCTGTAACACAGCGAATCAAACACTGTCTTCCTCATTCCTTTGCGATATAACAAAACCCGCCAACATAACACACTCCTCAAAGTATAAATGGTCAAAACTTGAAAGTAAACTGAATGGAAGCCTCGAAAATGCTTCAAGGGACAGTAAGATAAGTATTTCTGACGTAAACTGCTGCTATAATGGACGTTGTTGAAGCTTTCGAAAGTGCTGCATTATTTGTCGAATTCGTTAACATTTTTTTGGAAATGTCTGTCAATTTTTCTCTAGCGAAAATGCTCACGATTTACGCTGAACACGCGATTGGCCTGCACAGCCATCGAACGAGCTCTCGCTCTGGATGCTACCGGCCGGCCGACGTCAAAGCTCAGACCTGGAGCTTTGCTTCCCTGCTTCCTTGGCTTCCTTTGCTTCCTTTGCTTCCTTATACCGTCGGAAGGCTGTAAGTAAAGGGAGCCCGCTATTTCCGTACTAATAGTACTTTGAGCGCTGCAGCGCCTTACTATAAGTTTCTTGTCAGCGCATTCTAGCCATGATTTCTGCAGCAGGTTTAACAATGTGTCTGACCATGGAGAACTACGAAAGACAGCGTGTTGGATGTCTGGGGAGCAGTCTACAATATATTTTTGGACAGAAATAGAGAACAGGAAGCTCAAAATCTGGATGTTTTGACGCGTAACCCCTGAACCAGTAGCCTAGCTGGATAGCGCATTTGGTGAAGCCCATTGCTAGCTTAATTTGAAGCCGTTTTATTCGCAAATTAGCACGACACCAGTGAACCTTGGCACGGTGAACTCCCGGTAAGGACGTACCTTCCCATGCCAAGATCAATAATTTGAACACCATTTGCACGGTTCTCCAAATGCGTGCAGCTCGGCTAGCTCAGGTTTTGGCAATATCTACCTACTGGCCATACGTTATTTGCAAGAGTTACGTATGGCCAATAGATACATGACAGGAGCCTGGCGGCCGCGGCCGCCAGGCTCTAGCCGCCCGGGCGGGCCCCACCCTCCGCCGAGCCGGGCCCGGTTCAGGTCAGTCCGGCTCCGGCGCATCTGACGGTCGCCTCCGCAACCCGCCAGCCGGCGCGGCGCGTTTACCGGCTCCCTGTTGTTCGCCGGATGTGATGCGGGCAAATGCGATTTCACGCGAGGATAATCTGTTTTACACGGACGTCAGCGGCAAGAACAGAGACGTGGAAACTGGCCACCAATCGGACGTTGAGCTCGAGCGAGCAGTGCTGCGGCGGAGCACGCTTCCGACTCAGGGCATAGCCGGAAATGAAATTGTTGTGGAGTTTTAAAAGTTTAATGCGTCAGCTATCTTGTCAGGCGATGTGTGCTTTTGTTGGGGTGAAAAGCTAGAGCTGGAAATAGCTTCGACTGATGCGTGCAGCATAAGTTTGTCAAGCTGCTGTTTTTCTGATTTCCTTTTATTCTTGACTTCAGCTATCGCACTGACGTTTTTACAAACCAATATTTGATGTATTGCTCGATTTCAGTTTTATTGTGCCGCTGACATCAGGGCTGTGTTTTTGTCGAAATTCATTTGAGATTTCCTTCATTTTAAAAAATAAAACATTTCTCTGGGCGGGAAGCTCAGTTTGCAGCGTGCTCGTGGGAGGCCTAGGTTCCCGGCTGATATCCTGGCCTTTGGAACTGATCCGGGGTCTTTCATTCTACTCTTCTGCACCGGGCGAACACGAAGAATGGAATGGAATGCAATCAGAAATGATGGTCAAACTCCGACGCCATAGCCGATGTTTCTTTGCGCTCTTGGGCAATGTTTGTCAAGACATGTTGACTGCACAGCTCAAGCATACCCAGCGAAACTGAAGCATAGATGCCGTCGGATTACGTGTCAGCTTGCGTCAGGTAGCTGCTGAGAATCGAGCTGCCAGCCCTCCCCTTGACTGTCTCGAAGACACCGCTGAGATCCACAGCCGGCATGTGCCTCCAAGTGCGGTAAAACACGTCTCTCTTGAAGACCGGGCATTAGGAGCAGCTGAGCTGCGGCGCATTACCTGATTCAGCTCAGCTGGGCCCCGCCTGCGAGACCCGGTGTGACAGTTGGCCGAGCCGGCTGACTGTCTGCGGGACCCGGTGTGACAGCTGGTGGAGCCGGCTGACTGTCTGTGGGACCCGGTGTGACAGCTGGTGGAGCCGGCTGACTGTCTGTGGGACCCGGTGTGACAGTTGGCCGAGCCGGCTGACTGTTTGCGGGACCCGGTGTGACAGCTGGCCGAGCCGGCTGACCGCCTGTGGGACCCGGTGTGACAGCTGGCCGAGCCGGCTGACTGTCTGAGGGACCCGGTGTGACAGCTGGCCGAGCCGGCTGACTGTCTGCGGGACCCGGTGTGACAGCTGGCCGAGCCGGCTGACTGTCTGAGGGACCCGGTGTGACAGCTGGCCGAGCCGGCTGACTGTCTGAGGGACCCGGTGTGACAGCTGGCCGAGCCGGCTGACCGCCTGAGGGACCCGGTGTGACAGTTGGCCGAGCCGGCTGACTGTCTGAGGGACCCGGTGTGACAGCTGGCCGAGCCGGCTGACTGTCTGCGGGACCCGGTGTGACAGCTGGCCGAGCCGGCTGACTGTCTGCGGGACCCGGTGTGACAGCTGGTGGAGCCGGCTGACTGTCTGCGGGACCCGGTGTGATAGCTGGCCGAGCCAGCTGACCGCCTGCGGGACCCGGTGCAACAACTGGTGGAGCCGGCTGGCTGGGGACCCAGTGTGACAGCTGGCCGAGCCGGCTGACCGCCTGCGGGACCCGGTGTGACAGCTGGTGGAGTCGGCTGACTGCACCGCCTCGCAGCCGCGTCCGTGTGCCGCCCAGAGGCTGTCCCATCGGACAGGTGACGTCAGCTGTCGTCTCTTGGGAACGCAGCCAGGATGGTGTGCCCCCCCCCCCCCCCAGCCCCGGTCAAATGCATGCCCTTCCAGAACTGTTGGTGTTGTGTTAGTGGCCCTTTTGGAACTACGAAGATATGTAAATAACACTACATCCGAGAAAACCCGACAGCATATTGATGTCAGTGCTGAACCAACCACTCCATCCTGACGAAGTTGCACAGATCTTCGATAAGCTGACTCCAGTCCTGGCCTATGCCTCTCCTGACATCGCTCGCAAGTAGCTGTTATAACGTTACTGGCTGATGCCCGACATAAATCGACGGCTTTACGATCATTCTGCGCCATAAGTGGTTTTTCATAACAGATTAATGCAATCACATTATCTTATCAAATATGCATTCCCACCTCTGAAATTCATAGCACACTGTTCTCAAAATACTCAACAAAACGCTAAAACAATGGTAAAAATTGTCTGTTGATGTGACTGAAATCAGACAAGACAACTGCCATCATATCCAATAAAAAAATTCAAGTGCTGATTGGTGCAGTGTCGTCTCTTAATATCAATAGGGCGCCGTGCCTACGGTTTCCAAACCGCGGAATCGACAGTGTACTGGTAAGACTCAACGTCTGGGGAAACCAGAGGTACGGGGCTCGATTTCCTGCGATTCTCGAACTTACTGTCTGGCTAAGAGGCCGGCGACACTATATAGCCGCAGTATTTGAGTGCGTGGTAAAACCCCAATGGCACACACTCACGATACCGAAGCATTTCATCTCTTCACTTGAGCTCCTTTCAGCTTTGTTCAAGACTAAACGTACTCCCTAGGCGACGCAGTTAATCCCAGCTAATAATCATGTCGCTTGCCAAAAGATTGTCTTTCTAAGAGGAAGACTTTCCCGGCTCATCTTTTGTGATTCTGCAGTCGTATCCTTATACGTGAGCTCCCCAAGACGCGTGGACCCCTTGCGTCACGGCGTTGCCAGCCCTCAGAGGTCTCTGTGCTGCCCTCGGCGTCAGGGCTGAGCTTTCCGAACCTCCTCCCACGGCAGGGCCGGCCTCCGGACGGGCTGCGGGGTGGGATGGAGAGGCGGGGTGAGACCCCTCGGTGCAGAGGCCGCAGTGTCACCCACCGCACTGTGGTCCGCCCGACTGACGTGGTGTAGAGGCCTGTGGTCCACCCGACTGACGTGCTGTAGAGGCCTGTGGTCCGCCCGACTGACATGCCGCAGAGGCCTGTGGTCCTCCCGACTGACGTGCTGCAGAGGCCGCAGTGTCACCCGCCGCACTGTGGTCCGCCCGACTGACGTGCTGTAGAGGCCTGTGGTCCTCTCGACTGACGTGCTGTAGAGGCCTGCGGTCCGCCCGACTGACGTGCTGCAGAGATCTGCGGTCCGCCCGACTGACGTGCTGCAGAGATCTGCGGTCCGCCCGACTGACATGCTGCAGGGAGCCGGTCAGCTGGAACTGACC